CTGATGTGTGTAATTAAAGTCCCCTCCCAACTTCTCAAGGAATGTGTGTTGTATTAAATGACTGGCTGTCTGCAGTGTCACTGCTGAGGCAGGGACAGACGACAGTTAGGGACAAAGGCTAGCATTCCAGGGTAAATCCATAAGCCGTGAGTGGCAGTGGCACAAGGTTCCAGAAGTGAGAGAAATGGACCGAACTGGGTTTGCAACAAGCTGAAACCTGTGAGGACTCCAGTCAGCTGGCACAACCTCTCAAAATGCAAATCCCCGAGCCGTAGATAAAAGTAAGTCTCCTCCGACTCCGAAGGGCTCCAGTAATTCTTATTAAGCCCCATTTCGATGACTGAAACAGAATGCAGGGCCCAGGCCCACAGATTAAGTTTCCAGTCAAAGCTGACAGAAGCCTAAAGCAAGGAAATTAACATTTTAGGAGAAAAACTGGCTTTTTAAAAAGATTTTTCTTGGACAGTTTAAGTCATAGCATGCCAAATAAGGGTGAATTTCTAGGAGACTATAGTACCGAGGAGATCAACTGCTGGGAGAATTTATTCACAGGGGAAAACCCCAATGCCCTCAGGGAAACCACTTCTGCAGGACTCCAGATGAAAACTAAACCCCATTATAAGCACACCTTCAGGCCAGGCTTTCTCCTTGAAGATGTCTACTTATGCCTCCAGCCCTCTCTTCCCTAGTATTTGCAGAAGGCTGCAGGGTTTATAAGTCCTACCATTCCGCATCCATAAACTTTAAGCATATTTTTCTCTCACAAAACAATACTATCTTTACATTCCTTTTAAGATTAAAACTAAAACTTTTCTCTTCTCCTACAATAACGTATTATAAATACAGTGTATTTTTTAAAAAAAGACTTTAATTCCAATACACAGGAATGGAGAAGTACAAATGATTTCATCTGTCCCACTGTGATGACAGGAGCTATGAAAGGACCTGAATGCGGCTCTTTGGGCCTTGAGGAGAATGGGAATTTTGAGAATTAACTATAACTGTCCTGTTCATTATGATCACCAATAACCACAGGTGGTTACTTAAATCCAAGTTAACTGAAGTTAAAAAGATATTTAAAAGTCAGTTCCTTAGTTGCACCTGTCACATTTTAAGACACATGTGGGTAATTAATAGTTTCCACGTTGGACAAGCATATAGAGAAGGTATTTTCATCATCACAGAAAGTTCTGTTGGATGTTTTTCTAAGATGGCTGTATAATTCATCCCCATTTCCTAATGGAGATGATGAAATAACAGCTCCTAAGTTCAAGGTTATTGAGCTACTGGCAACCTTGTCCACACTGGAGAGCTCCTTGCAGTGGTTCATATATGTTGTCCAGTCACTCCCATCTCCCCAGGTCTCAGGTCCACTAAAATTTCATTAAATGTAATAATATTTCATAACATCTATGGAGGCTCGGCCCAGTTGAAACCTAAATTCCTTCAAATTCCAAAGTATATTGCATATCTTTGTGATATCTGAAGAGAGGGCATGTCAGGAAAATGTCTATGGGGGATACCCAGGAAAAAGAAGGCACTCTCCAGAATTACTGATTAGTTTCCAGATGTGTCCTCAGGCTACTTTGGGTGGAATGAGGTGTGGACAGAACCCAAGGCTAGGCTGGGAGATACTGAAAGTTCTGAGACTCTAAAGAGTTTTCCCATACATCTTTTCAGGTACAATGAAGGAAATGGTGTTTAAACAGAAAAAATTTGTAAAGTGCTGATGATGGAAGCCTAATGCCAAAGTGGGATCAGGAGCAGGAAGGCCCAGGTGTTGAGTTGATGGAAGGGGAGGTTGTGGTGAGCTCCCCTGCTTTCTGCCAACTGCAGAGGCCCAGTGGAAAAAGAAGAAAGGGATTCCCTGCCTTCCTACCACAAACTCCTGGCCTTGCAGTGGTTTTATTATATCACTCCCCCACTTAACCATTTGCCAGCCTCTCACAGAATTAAGCCCAAACTAAAAGCCTGGCATGTAAGGCCCCCATAATCTGATTACCTTTCTGCTGAGCAAGTCCTTTTATCAGAAACTCTTTAATATTAACTCTTTCTGCCTCCCCATGGCCAGAATTTTTCCCTCCCCACCAGATCTATGGGATGGCCAAGATCATCACCATGGTGGCCTGCCCAGCACCCAGAAGGAGTTCAACACCTTCCCTGTCATCTGCGAGACTTCCCAGACAATGTGAGGCAACTCCAAGAACGGCATCAAGGATGCCTGGTGTCCAATACTGCCCCTAGGGACTGGCCTAATGTGGCTCACAGGCTCGTTGCCTGCTCTGACTGGGGCTGGTAGAGTTGGAGAACTGCCTCAATGTAGTCAGGCTCACAAAGCCCTGGCAGGCACTTGTCAATTTCCCTCCATTTCCTTGAAGCAAGTGGAGAAATATGGCATGAGGGCTAGCAATGGACGATGGTGCCCCCTTTGAAATGTACCCAGATTTTCAGACCCAGGCCAAGTGCTTTCTTTTCTGGAAAATCATCATTATTACCCACCTCCAACACTGTCTCTGTCTCTTTTGGTCTTGGTTTTGAACTATCTTTATTGGGAGATAACTTTTAAGATGGGCCCACATTTACCCATTTTGTAGGTGAGTTTCCAAAATCTCTTAAAACCTTGCTCATATTTGTTATACCAAATTTAAAGTCAACAGATCAGAAGTTTTGAACCTAATACACAGTACTATTTGCTGTGAGACACTAACCTCTCTGGTCCAGCTCTTCATTTGTAATCTAAGCTGAGTTGGGCTACATCTGTGTTTCTCAAGCTGAGTACCACACTAGAATCATCCAGAATCTTTTATAACAATGATGTCAGAGCCTCACCCCAGAGCAATGAATCAGAACTTCTTGGTGTTTGGTTCAGGCATTGGGATTATTTTAAAAATCTCTCAGATAATCCCAATGTGCAGCCAAGGTGAAAAAAAAAATAAATATAGAATTTAGGAAAGGATTTATTCTATGTGGATTAGAGAACTCAATAGGAAAGTACATAAGAGTTAGAGATGGGGGGTATGGTAGTACTGGACAGAGGTAGAAGGCCAGGCTTGCAAGTGATGTCACCCTCATCTTTGCCTTGGGCTGGCTGCACGGAAAATAACAAATTGCATTATAGCAGAACTTTCTTATAAATGCATACGTGTATAATCAAGTACAACCCAAATAATTTTCAAGCTGAATTACAACTCAAGCTGAATAACATTTTAGAATGAGGTAGAAATCATAAACATAACTTGCTCAGGGCAATGGTTGCCATTGTATATATTCTTCCTGGAAGATCATTTTTAGATTAATTTTACAAGTTCCTACCTTTTTAAAGGGGGGACGTCCTTTGCCAATCACCCAGGGGACAATAAGCTTAAAGGAAGATCTGTTCGAAAGATCTTCGGAGCAGGTTTCCTGACTGAATTTCTAAAGCGTTTTGACCCTACAAGGCAACATGAATAGTGAGTTCAAGGAGACCAACGTGAGAAAGCATATTTCCCTTTAGAGAATCTAGCAAAGAAGTTAAGAAGGCAAATAGTTCCTCAGAATGAACAGTTGTGGATAAGATCTTTCTTCAGAAAATCCCAAGGCTAAAGAAATATAACACAAACAACATCAATCTGAAGTCAAGACATCCTTGCAATTTAATTCCCCTCCATAGGCTCTGTGATATTTTTCTTTTCTATTCTGTTAAACAAATATATACTGAGCACCATTTATATACCAGATGTAAAGAAGAACCATTTCTGGCATGCTCAGAGTTTAAGTATTTTCTTGGTATAATGGCATCTGCCTTAGCAAGAAATCAGCTTGTAAAAATTATAGTTTTCTAAAGGATTATGTAAAAGATATTATTCTAAATGATTGACTAAGGCATCCCTTTTCAAAAAAGAAGTACATAAAAAGGTAATACTGAAATCCATCACAGTTTGAAGTAAAATCTCTGCCATTATAATAAACACATGAACCCAGTCATGGTTTAATGAAGCTCATCTTTGCTGGAAAATCTCTACTGAGGAGGAAAGATCACAGTGACCTTTGGTCCCAACCAGGCCCTCTGGAAAAATCATCCTGATGAATACTTTTGGAAAAGAAGAGAAAGAAATCTAAATCATAGTGTGGGAGCTAATTTGCTGCGTTCAGAATTAAATAAAATGACATCATGAGTCTGACTCTCTCTTTATGTTGTAGGGAAAACAACATTTCTACAGGGCAAGGAGCAGGAAAGCAGCATGTCAATTAGCTTTGCAGGACACAAACAATGCCGTTCCTGCTAAGTGAGGCGATTCTTTATCATGTTCCTTAAAAACGTCAAGTCATGCAGGTAGGCTTTGGCACTCCTCAATGGATGCTTCTCTAGAAACGTGATGTCACTAAATCTTAGCTGTCTGTTCCTCGTGTTCTACCAGTCAAAACGGTTCTGTTTTTCTCCATATTTTTATTGAGACGCATGTTTAAGAAGTTCTAGGAAAGGAAGCCAAAAATAATACCTAATCTCTATAACTGATGATGAAGAAGTTCTCTTCCTACAGAAAGATGCCCGTATCCCTGATGGGGTTGGGCACCCTGAAGCCCTGATAAAGAGCAAAACCACAGGACTGTAGCGCCTGGTACAGCCTTTTACAAATGGCAACATTTGTCTACTGACAATAGGACATGACCCTCAAGAAGGCAGACCACATGGTATACAAGAGAGAAGCTGTCACCGCAAGAAAAGGGGAAAAGAAAAATGACTCATTACGTAGTTTGAACTCTAGTAAGACGGGCGGACAAAATCCTCAAAGAAGTGTACCTTAAAACAGGAAATTCTCTAGTCCTAAATGTGGTTTTCGATGTTTAAGGCAAGAACAATGCTCTTGATGTCTATCTCTTCTACAGTTCAGCCATGAAAAATAGGAAGACATGAGGGGCCATCAATGTGTATCTGAGATTTACTTACAAATTAAGCAGTGAGGAAGCACAATGACTAAAGGTGGTAGAATGGATGAAAAGATGAATTCATGATACTTTACCATGTCTCAGTGGATGAACAGTCCTATTACAGCTTGGGCAGATGATTTCATCTTTCTGGGCCTCCATTTCCACATCTGTAAAATGGGATAATTACGCCTATCTCAGAGAGCTTTTTCCCAGATTAAATATGACAAGCAATTGAAAAACTGCTCTACAAATAATGAAGCATTCTATTACAATAAGGGATTATTGTATAAGATTATTATACTCAGACATGGTCAATATGTTTTCTTCAAAGTCATCAGACCAGACTTTTTTCCACTGGTGCTGTCTTGCCTGCATGTCTCAATGATAGTAAAATTACTGAAGCCACTTCTCTTTTCTGTTTTCCTGGCACTAATTTTTTGTCTGCCTGAATTGCAGGCAAATGACCATTTTCACAATTTGTTTGCTTTTAATACTTATTTAACAGCTATTTTAGCAAAGAAAGACATTTTGTATGTTCCCAACAGAGGTGTGGCCAGAAATATTTACTAAAAACTTCCACGGCGTCCTGGTCACCACCAATAAATTGCATACAAACTGTCAGTGAACCAACACAATCATCAAGTACCCAGTCTGATCCCTTCATTTTCTTCTAACTTCAAGACACTTCAATTTAGAGAGAATAAGAGCCAAATTGGCCTCCATGGTCATCTTATGATGTGAGAGAAGTGACACCAGATCAATCAAACATTCCCAAGATTTTCAGGGCTCACTCCAAAGGCTTTCTTGAAGATAAATTTTATTAAAGTACTGATCATAATCAAAACAGTACATTGTATCAGAGGTCAAGTATTGTTTTTCACTTCCTTTCCCAGAACTTCTTAAAAATGAATGTTTGAAGACAGATATAGAGAAGAACAAAATTGTTTTGACTGGCAGAAAATGACTTACACAGACATCTAATATTTAGTCAAGTTGTTTTTTATAAAAGAAGTTATATCTTGGGAGTAGCGACGCTAACAGTCTTGGCTCCTATGGCGCTAATGGCGGCTGCAACAGTTATTCAACAAGTTAATGCTGATTTGTTAAGAAATGATATCTCTTCCTTTGCCTGAAAGATAACAGGCATCTCATTACCAAACTCATAATAGGCAACACTCAGAGTTTTTGAAAATGCTTCAGCAAAGCATTTTCGTGTGTGTGCTGAATAAACCTACATGATTACATAATTGCCACAAACATTCTCACCAGTATCATCCTTGAAATCTTGGTAGACAGATATTTGCAACAGTTCTGAGAGCTAACCAATGCCATGCCAAAATTATCAAATAGAAGCACTACATTTCAGCCATTTCGAACAAGTGCCACAGAATATTAAGACATAAGAATATTAAAATTTTTATTTCATTTGCTCTCCCTCCCCCTAGATAGAGCAGTTCTAGTCTATATGGAATGAGTTGAAGTCAGTGGTCACTCCAGAATTCCCCTAGAGGCGGGGCTTCATGGCGGTGACCCAGCTGAAGGCAGGTGAGAAGCCCATGTGGAAGCCGTGTTGCACAGGGAGCGCACCACATGGTGCCTAGACGGTATGCTTCTGCAGTCTTTATAGGGAGCTGTAGCTATAGACTGTGGTGCAGGAGAAGGTGGAAGGCCTTCACGATCTTTCTGGAAACACAACCTACTCCCATTAATGCGAGGAAGGCTTTTATTTAAGTCTACTTAGCCCCTGTCATTTTGATCACATTTGCAAACACGGGATACTTCCCCTCAGGCAGGCAGAAGGGTGTTCTCCGGCCCTCTTCCATTGCACCAAGATCCCTTCTCAACCCCTTCTCCACCAATCTCAATCACCAGACATAACCTATAATTCATAAAAAGGGAAGGCAAGAGCTGCAAAAAATTGTCCTGCATCAGTCAGATAGCATGATTTACTTTATGACTTTGGCCTCTATAATTATAGCGTGTTGGGCCCTCCATAAAAAATTCAAACGCAAGAGAATAAATGAATCAAAGGTGACAGACTGTGATAGATGGAAAAACAGCAGCCTAGAACACCCGCGTACCGCAGCCTCCACAAAATTCGCAGAACTGAAGACAGGGAAAGCCTCCACTGTAAAAAGCCACTTACATGAAACAGATCACTCAAGATTTCCCACAAGCCTACAGCCACGACAAACAATCCTCCAGGTGGCTTCAAGCCACTGACATTCTCACTTGGCAGAGTGAAAAGGTAAGCAGACTAGGGGGAAAAAAACATCACCGCCCCCAGTCCTGGATCTAAAATCAGTTTCCCTTGCCTTTAAAAGCAATGCATTTTAAACAGTAACATACACAACAAAAACAGACACGGTAAGTCTGTGTGTCTGCTAAGAGCTAGGCCAGAATCAGACAGAAGTTTCTTTCTCAAATAGTTTTCATTCTAGGAAGGGAGTTAAAGCCCACACATACAACCACAGGTAGCTTGGCAAACAAGCCCTACAAGTGAGGAGATAAGGCCTGTGAGAGAGGCTGTGAACAGGACGAAGAACCACACTGAGATGATAAGGGAAGACTCAACAAAGAACTGATGTTCAAGGCCCAGCTTTATTTCAAAGGGTGGAGCGGTTGTAGGGCACAGGTAGAGAGGAGGAAAATATGGAGGGTCAAAAGCAAGGGAATTGGTAAGCAAGAAGGATGTGTGAGGCTGCCTGGTTCAACCACAGCCAGAGCATGAGACATAGGAAGGGAAGAATGGATCACGAGGAAGGGGCTTGGCCTCATCTATGCCTGTAGTCAGAAAGCTGGTCCTGGAGCCCGTCTGTGTGCAATGTACCAAAAAGCCAAGAGACACTGAGGCAGCCCCTGACCTCAAAGAGGAAGGAAAGGCTGTGTGTGCACTTAGGATTTACACAGAGGATCCGTGGAAGCCTTTCTAGCTGGGGCCACCTATTCAAAATGATGTCTGGGAGGAGATTTAACTGATGGCCATGCGTGTGTATTGACAGGAGAAGGGACAAAAGGTAATCACAGGCAAAAACCAATTAGTAGATTCTTAAAGATAACAAAAAATAACAGTTTAGGTTTATGTCCTGTTAGCAGAATTCAAGAGCAAAAATGAAACCAAATGGTTATGCATTTCATGCAACTATTCTGAGGAATAAATTGAGATTTGATGCAACAGGAAGCAACAGGAGATATCGATACAGGTTGCAATGGAAAGTTTTTCTGGTCTTCTGTTTTCTTTTCTTTTTAATTTTTATTTATTTGCTAATCATAGCTCGTCAAAAGCAAAAGTCAGAAAATAAAATTATTCGGGAAAATCAGAAACTAGTAGTGAGAACTGGCTATTGCACACGCTTTATTACTTCAGAGCATTAGCAACTGTCAGAACCTAATGAGTCTGGAAGACAAAGGTAAGTCAGGCACCACAAGCTGCCTTATGGTAAGTAAAATACAGAAGGCAATCAATGAAAAGGTCTAACGTGGCACCGTCAGAACAGTCTAAAGGAATTGATGGTGAGAACACGCCCGTGAGTCCTCCCCAAGCATCAAGCAGAATAAGTTTCTCAAGACAAAAGAGGATGATTAAAAAAATGTTGAAGAATACAACCATGCCCTGAAAACCGGTCAGTAATTTATTAACTTATTTGGTAGATGCTTTTTTTGAGCAGAGTGCTATATATTTAAGAAACCCTAAGGTATAACAGCTCCATCATGAACTAAGCTCAGCATGTGTCAGGCAATCTGTGATTAAACGCCTAATGCAGTAGACAGTGTTGAATGGGAGTTCAGCAGAGAAGCAGATGCTTGCCTTCTACAGTGCATGGTCAAGGGACATGTGCTCTCTCTTCTAGTAGTTTTACTGTGTTAGTCACATACAGTTAAAACCTGGTCTGCAGCTTGAGAAGGAGTCAAAGAGGCAAGTGGCTAAGTACAGCTCCTCCTTCACTCCTCCTCCTCCTCACTGAAGCAACAAGTCTGATGTGATCCATGAAGAGCACAGCAGATCATTCGACTCTTCCTTAGAAAATGCTTTAAGGCCTTTAAAGTAGTGTTTCTCAAACTGTAACATGTACAGGAACCACCAGGGGATGTAGTTAAAATGTACATTTTGATGCAATACATCTGGGGAGGGTCCCGGAATTTTGTAGTTCCAGTAAATGACGCTGATGCTGCTGGTTCCTGCTATCCAATTAACAGCAAAGTATTAGAACTCCTTTAGTTTATGTTGTCACAGATAAGAGAAATCCATCACTGGGGTTTCACAAATATTTCATACCCAAGACTACTAAATAACTTCCACTTTTTTACCTGGCATTATTATAGAACAATGAAATGAGATGAAAATAACATCATCTCATTCAGGAAATTTTTAGCTGTTAAAGTCTACCTAGCTCTATGATTTCAATGCCTTTAACAACACAGGTTTAAACTGTGATGAAAAGCTCCCCAAATTTTGATGATGCATGCATTAAAATAGAGGGAACCAAAAAAGAAAACGTCAAGGGTCATTAGTAAAGGCATAATATGCCTTCCCCAATAATTT